CGAGAGGAAGACCATCACACCAGAGTCATCATCACTGGGGTACATCTCGCTCGCTCTCTCTCTCTCTGAGTTGAGTTAGATGTGTGTTGATCGTGTGGTGTGTGTTTCGTCAGGTTCTGGCTCTGAGGAAGAGGAGGGTGAGGAGAATGAGGAGGAAGAGTCCAGCAGCCAGAGTGAGGGAGAGAAGAGGCGAGTCAGGATCAGAGTCTGAGGGGCCGAACACAGCGAGGTTCATACACACACACACACACACACACACACACATCTGTTGAGCGCATGTCCGCTTGTTTATATGTGCTTTATCTTCATCATCGGGACATTAAACGATGCACATGATTTGTAAAAGTGTAATTTCTGAGATGTGTTTCCCAGGTGTCCTGAGCGACGAAGAGCGTCAGAGGAGGAAGAGGAGGAGGACCGAGAGAACGGAACCACATTCCTCCCAGTGAGCATTGCTTTTATCTCTGACACTGCTCAGGGTTCGTGGAAACTCTGGAAAAGTTTTTGGACAAACAAACTCTGAATTTTTTTTTTTTATTAGTCCTGGACTAATTTTAGTAAAGATATTCTGTGGTAAATTTAAACATTTACTTTTATTCTTAAAGGTGCAGTGTGTAATATTTAGGAGGATCTGTGGACAGAAACGCAGCATCATAAACATAACTGTGTGTTCAGTGGTGTATAAAAACCTTTAGCGGACACACGCATTTCGTCACGATGTTGTTCTTCATGATCAGAAGCTGCTAAAGTCAGCGAGTAAAACACTGACACAGTGATGAACAAGTCACAATAATATTCACAATAACATCATTTTACTGAATAATTAAGTATATTTATCTTCATAAAGAAACATCATTGCCGAACTGGCGACTCCCTGTTGGGTGCAATTCACAACCTCGCCACTAGATGCTGTTAAACGTACACACTGCACCTTTAGCCTGTGAGGTCATGGGTATTTAAGTCTTGTGAGTTCATTGGTGTAAATGTGAGTGTGTTGTTTTGCCAGTTCCCGAGTCTCGGTTTGATCACGACTCTGAGGTGAGCGTTGAGGAAGAGGAGGCCGAGGAAGAAGAGGAAGAGCCGGTCGACGTCACGCCTCAGTCTCCGTCTCACTCGGCCACTCCCGAGGAGAACTACATCCCCGAGTCTCCTCCCATCTCTCCTGTGGAGCTGAAGAAGCAGCTGCCCAAATACCTGCCCGCTTTACAGGTACACACACACGCGCACACACTCTCTCACACACACACACACACACACACACACTCACTCTGCTGTCTGTGCTCAGGGCTGTCGGAGCGTGGAGGAGTTCCAGTGCTTGAACCGCATCGAGGAGGGCACGTATGGAGTGGTGTATCGGGCCAAAGACAAGAAGACGGACGAGATTGTGGCCCTGAAGCGTCTGAAGATGGAGAAGGAGAAGGAGGGCTTCCCCATCACCTCTCTGCGGGAGATCAACACCATCCTGAAGGCCCAGCACCCCAACATCGTCACCGTCAGGGTCAGACAACACACATGCTTTTCACTACTGTTTATTCATTTTTAATAGTGCTGGAACAAATCACAAAATTCACGGTTCGGATCATTTGTGTTTTTTGAGCCGTGAATTGGATCATTTTTCAGATCAGCAAAAAAAAAAAAAAAAAATTATATATATACATGTATAGAGTGCAGAAGTGATGACATCACTTTATAGGACAACTCGGAAGCTAGTGTCGCATACGTTCCCTTGATCAAAAAGCTCTGCATTTTCCTCATAGACTTGGAAAATTGCAAAAAAATAAGATGTGTGTTCAACAAAGTTGTGACCCTTCCATGTTTTGTCTATCAAGATAATCTTTACAAGTTAATCCAAAATGTATACATTTTGAAGCCTATATAAAGAAGCAGGTTATAACTGTGTGTTCTATGTCATAGATCAAAATGTGAACATATTTAGAGGCTTTGTTCACCACAGACCTTATTTTAGGCGATTTAGCAAAAACCCATTCAAAAATCCCTGGGCGTTAAAAGAAGTTAAAAACAAGTGAACCGTCCGTAATAAAATAAGGACAAATGCACAAATACTCCAGCAGAGATGAACAGTTACAAACCCTAACAGTCTTCAGGTACAGAATTTAATAATTAAGCCTACATGTAAAATAACACTTTGTTCACTGTAGAAATTAAATATAGTTTCATCTTTAAAGTAGGGTTGCCGCGGTGAGGAAAATTTCCCACCGGTTAATCGACGTGTGACAACACCGGTAATCCCGGTGTCACCGTGGAGGGCAGGGCGGGGGGTTAAATAGCTTTTAAATGCGTGCGCGTTATACTTTCACTTTCGAAATAAGCGTCAATTGCTTGAATGGACAAAAAAAAACAACTCGCTGATAATAAAACTTTTATTTATAGACTTTTATTAGCATAACGAACGAATAAAAATAACCCCATGCATAGGCTGAAAAAAGTGAAAATCGGCAAAATGTGGGCCCAAACAAATAAGAACCATAAAACGTTTATTAACGAATAAGAAAATAAAATAGGCCTAAATAAATTACACAAAGTTTAAATGAGATAAAACCAATTAAAAAGAGACGAATATAAAATAAAAACTTCAAAACGGACCTTAGCCTACATAAATGACATACTTTCACTTTCGAAATAAGCGTCAATTGCAATTCAGCGTCAATTGCTGGAATGGACAAAAAAAAAAAAAAACTCGCTGACAATAAACTTTTATTTAGACAGCACTTTTATTAGAATAATAAACGAATAAAATATAGACAGAACTTTTATTAGCATAACAAACGAATAAAAATAACCCCATGCATAGGCTGAAAAAAGTGAAAATCGGCAAACTGTGGGCCCCAAAAAAATAAAACGTTTATTAACGAATAAGAAAACAAAATAGGCCTAAATAAATTAAACAAAGTTTAAATAAGATAAAACCAAATAAAAAGAGACGAATATAAAATAAAAACTTTAAAAAGGACCTTAGCCTACATAAATGACAGCACTCTAAAAAAAAGTAAAACACTATAAATTGGCATTTATTAACATTAATATATATTGGCCAAAATATTGCCAAACAGGCGCTTTTGCATTGCGTTTTGACACCAAATCTTCCGCCATTATCTTGCTTTTCTGTAATTTGACTCGTTCTCGTCTCCACACGTGCTAAAGAATCCTGATGCTTGCTGATCTGTGACGTGACGGCACGCGTTGCGCAGTTCATTTTTTATTATAATGCTCTCTGCAGAACTAAATAATTGAAAATTATTATTTTTAATTAATTCAAATAAATATTTTAGCAAAAACGAATACTTTAAAAAAAAAGTCAAGACATCGCGGTGTCACGGTGGGAAAGTGATGTCACCGGTGATGGGGCTTAAAACCGGTAACACCGTCAACACCGTCTATCGCGGCAAGCCTACTTTAAAGCTGTATTTTGTTGTTTTATTAATATTAATGACACAGACGACTGCAGGAATATTAGGCTTCCGTCACTTTAAGACCGAATTAACTGAGCAAATAAACTCAATTTTGTTTCTCTTTTGTTCATTAATGTCATAACCGAGAGAATATGGCTGAGACGAGTATCTTGACATACGTTTGTGCGCATGTGTCCGTTCAAGGGCAATGAAGCGAGAAAGAGAAAAGGAAGTATGCAACAATAATTATCATTATTATTATGGCTCACCACTCCAATAAATCAATCTGAAAAAGAAAATTAAAGATTGTTCAAACAATATGCCTTCCATATTTACACTCGAGTAAACCTTATTACGCCTCATTAAACACACTCTAGTAAGAATAGCGGATATATGGAGATCCATAAATGTATCAAGACTGGATCCCCTCGTGTCAAATATGATATCTCTGATATAACATTATTAAATGTTTTAAAATGTATATTGCTCACTGTCAGTTTTAGTTTATAGATTAACTCATTTTATCAAATGAGATCTTAAATGTTCATACCAGCTATTAATCCTGTTTTTGTAGAATAATATTAATAAAATGTGTTGTCAGTAGGGATTGCGCATTATAGTTTATGGACGCTGATTTTAATACGCGGGGTTGTCATGGTGACTATGTACGGCTCCGTGTGTGAATCGTGTGTGTGTGTGCTTCTCTTGCAGGAGATCGTCGTCGGCAGTAATATGGATAAAATCTACATTGTGATGAATTATGTTGAGCATGACCTGAAGAGTCTGATGGAGACCATGAAACAGCCCTTCCTGCCTGGTATGACCTATGACCTCAACCTCAAACCGAATGTGCGTCACTGTTCACTGTGTGTTACTGAGACGGGAAGATGGACAGGTTACACTACCGCGGATCGCCATCAGATTATATTCGTGTTTCCCATTCATTGGTTCACAATATCCACACATCTATCAGAGGTCGGCTTTGACGTCCACATAGACATGAGCACTGCACGTGTCACAGTCAAACACACGCGGTGTTTTTATATGAGTGTATCTGAAGTGATTCTGTTATTTTAAGTGACTCTTCCCTGATAAAGCAGCGTTGGTGTCTGCCCGCCGCTCCTACAGCGCCCCCTGCTGGAGCCACTAATAAACACTGCACACCTTTCTCCACAATATTCACTCATGGCCATTCTACTGCAGTATTTCCTCTCTCAGCCAGTAGAAACTGTGGTTAACACACAGTCATATATTGTGAAACTGGTGTAATTTTCTTTTTTTTAATCTACCGTGATGTAAATGTCCGGTGACTAGCCTCAGTGATTGACGATGCGAGCTTGACCTGTGCTGTGTGTGTCCGTGCAGGCGAGGTGAAGACCCTGATGATCCAGCTGCTCCGGGGCGTCCGGCACCTGCACGATAACTGGATCCTGCACCGCGACCTGAAGACCTCCAACCTGCTGCTCAGCCACAAGGGCATCCTGAAGGTCACACGCCTCTCACGCAAACTGTTTTTATCCATTGTTTTATTCAGATTAATGATTGATTCCTGAGCTGGATCCATCTGTGACCAGAAATACTGATTTTTGATATGTTTGATTGAATCATCTGATATTGATTCCTAAATCCCCAGTTGTGTGTTTTAGTCAGCGCCGCTTTCATTCGACACGAGAATTAAACTTCACCAAACACCATTCATAGCTCCTGCCATCCAATAATCACGATAACCTTTGACACTTTTGATATGAAACAAAGTCTGTGTGTGTGTATGTGTTTGTGTGTCTTTAATGTGTGCTGATACACAGATCGCTGTTGAACCATTCAAACGCTTCAGTAATATTTTTTGTGTTTTTAAATAAGTCTCTTCTGTTTATTTGACTTGAAATACAAAACAGTAATATTGTCAAATATTATTATAACATAAATAAGTGACTAAAAATCAATATTTTGAAATATTATTATAACATAAATAAGTGACTAAAATCAATATTTTGAAATATTATTATAACATAAATAAGTGACTAAAAATCAATATTTTGAAATATTATTATAACATAAATAAGTGACTAAAAATCAATATTTTGAAATATTATTATAACATAAATAAGTGACTAAAATCAATATTTTGAAATATTATTATAACATAAATAAGTGACTAAAAATCAATATTTTGAAATATTATTATAACATAAATAAGTGACTAAAATCAATATTTTGAAATGTTATTATAATATAAATAAGTGAGTAAAAATCAATATTTTGAAATATTATTATAACATAAATAAGTGACTAAAAATCAATATTTTGAAATATTATTATAAGATAAATAAGTGACTAAAAATCAATATTTTGAAATATTATTATAACATAAATAAGTGACTAAAATCAATATTTTGAAATATTATTATAACATAAATAAGTGACTAAAAATCAATATTTTGAAATATTATTATAACATAAATAAGTGACTAAAATCAATATTTTGAAATATTATTATAACATAAATAAGTGACTAAAAATCAATATTTTGAAATATTATTATAACATAAATAAGTGACTAAAAATCAATATTTTGAAATATTATTATAACATAAATAAGTGACTAAAATCAATATTTTGAAATATTATTATAACATAAATAAGTGACTAAAAATCAATATTTTGAAATATTATTATAACATAAATAAGTGACTAAAAATCAATATTTTGAAATATTATTATAACATAAATAAGTGACTAAAATCAATATTTTGAAATATTATTATAACATAAATAAGTGACTAAAATCAATATTTTGAAATATTATTATAACATAAATAAGTGACTAAAATCAATATTTTGAAATATTATTATAACATAAATAAGTGACTAAAAATCAATATTTTGAAATATTATTATAACATAAATAAGTGACTAAAATCAATATTTTGAAATATTATTATAACATAAATAAGTGACTAAAAATCAATATTTTGAAATATTATAACATATATCATCTGTTTTCTATGTGAATATATAGTAAAGTGTAATTTATTCCTGTGATAAAGCTGAATTCATCATCATTACTCCAGTCTTCAGTGTCACATGACCCTTCAGAAATCACTGTAATATGAGGATCTGATGATCAACACATTAATGATTATTATCAGTGTTGAACACATGTCGTTTTTTCAGGATTCTTTGATGAAGAGGAAGTTGAAATCTTTTGTAATGTTATAAATGTCTTTAATGTCAGTTTTGATTAATTTAGTGCATCCTTGCTGAATAAAAGTATTGATTTCATCAGATCCTCATATTAGAGTGATTTCTGAAGGGTCATGTGACACTGAAGACTGGAGTAATGATGCTGAACATTCAGGAATAAATTACACTGTACTGTATATTCACGTAGGAAACAGATGATTTATGTTAGAATAATATTTCAAAATATTGATTTTTAATATTTTTAGTCACTTACTTTTTAGTTTATTTTTGAGAAGAGGAGACTTCTTTTAAAGTACCAAAGTGTTTGAATCATGAAATTGGTGTCAATGCCGGCCCTGCTCGTTACGCATCACTTGTATGTTTTTGTTGAACTATCCCTTTAGTGTTATTAATATGAATGTGTTTTTTCGATATATAAATGTAAGATGTGAATGTGTGTTGTAGATTGGAGACTTTGGTCTGGCCCGAGAGTACGGCTCTCCGCTCAAGCCCTACACACCTGTGGTGGTCACGCTGTGGTACCGGTCACCTGACCTGCTGCTGGGGGCAAAGGTCAGTCGATGACATCATCATCACAGTGTACAGAGAGCAAGAATTGAGAGTGAATCATATTTTTCTCAGGACACATAAATATAAATCAGCCTTCAGTTTAAGACATGAGCTTCTGGGTGAAGAGATGAGTTTATGAACCATATTCCTGAAGATTCGACAGGAGCGTGTGTGAAATGTATTAGCGAGAGAGCATACGTAACGTCACATCCACATCTCCCCGACAAAACATCCCGAGTCCGTCGCATAAAATCAGTCTGCATCCTTTTATAGATGAACTAAAGTTTGTTAAAAGCTGTTCACACAATCACAATAAAAACTGATTAATACATGAAACCTTTAAACAATCCTGATGACAAATCCTCAAAGCAGATCCAGTCACATTTATGTGTTCAATACACGTTGTTGTGACGGCTTTACATACAATTATTTGCATAAATTAGCATTTTGTAAAGATATAAACAATCAGATTTGCTATAAAGTATATATTTTGTAATCAGAAGAATATAAGTCGTCCCATCGTGTTGATTTATATTAAATGTGAATATTTTTTTGTAAACATCAAATGTTTTTTAGGGCTGGTCAACTATTAATCATTCAAAATAAAAGTCTGTATTTGCATACGTGTGTGTACTGTGTATAATTATGTTGTGTATATATAAATACACAAACATGCTTGTATATATTTCAGAAATATTTGCATATAGATACTGTGTGTGTATATATATATATATATATATATATATGTGTGTGTGTAATTTAAATTATTACATTTTTCTTAATGTGTGTGTGTGTTTATTTATATTTATATATATATGTGTGTGTGTGTGTGTCATTTAAATTATTACATTTTTCTTAATTGTATACATGCTTTGTGTGTGTGTTTATTTATATATATATATATATATATATATATATATATATATATATACACACACAAATATTATTATTACACCCTTTCTTAATAATTCTACACAGTACACACACACATTATACAAACACAGACTTTTATTTTGTATGCATTAATTGTTGCACATCTCTATTGTTTTTGTCCTGTAATGATGAGTGATATTGCAGTCGGTGTTTCTTCGTCTCGTCTTCATGATCCTCGCGTGAGTTGTTGATGTTCACTCTCGCTCTCGGTTCCCCCTGACAGGAGTACTCCACGGCCGTGGACATGTGGTCGGTGGGCTGTATATTCGGGGAGCTGCTCACACAGAAGCCGCTGTTCCCGGGAAAATCTGAGATCGATCAAATTAACAAAATCTTCAAGGTATGATTCGTCACTTAATTAAACCTGTGATCTTTGATGACACTATTACAATATACTCATCAGTGTTGATATTCATATTCATTATTTATTGTCCTCCATAGATATTTATTTCCACAGACTGTACCTGAGCAACATTCAGCACACACAACACACAGGAGTTTGAACACACAAGTAGACATATTGAGGAAAAAACAGATGATGTTGATCTGTTGCCACTGATGAGATTTAAACTATATATAATGTTGCTGATAATCATGTGCATTAATGTTTTACATAGTTTGTTCGCAGGGAGCGGGTGAGTCCTCTATCATAGGATGATTTGTTTGCAAACACACACCAGTGGCTGATGACTATTAACAGCGCTTGGTGACCGCAATACTGCAGATATTTACAGATTAATCGTGATAAACACTTATTGTTACATCAGATTTAGGGATGCACGATATATCAGCCACCATATCGGTTCATTTATAAAGGTATCGTTATCGCCTGATTAGAAAATTTGTCTGATATATTAAAGCTGATCAATAGTGTATTATTTCCTCCAGCTGAGACGCTTCAGACGCACACTGATCATCATGATGGTGTTGAGTTTCTTGATATATGATTGGAATCGCTTCAAAAAAGGAAAATCCAGTTCAGACATCATGACATCATAATTGTGCGTTTGGGACGTGACTTTTAATTTTGTAATCAGGCTCTCAAATTATATACAAATTTGGATTCAGATTAATCCGCCAATATATCGTTTATCGGCTTTCAAATGTAAATAATTATCAGCATCAGCCACTATTTTCATACGGGTGCATCTCTGATCATATTACTCCGGTACATTTAATCATATTACTCTAGTTCATTACAGATCACTTTAGTTTCTGGAACAGAAGTGTGTGGACTCCAGTGTAGCTCAAACACAGTCTGCTGAATCCGTTGTGTACAGTATCGCGGATTAGGATTAGCATTAGCATTAGTGCGGCGGCCCGGAATGGGATGTGAATGTGTGCCCAGACGGTGCAATACTTGGAAGTTAATAAACGTCAGTCTTTGAATGCTTGATCCCACTTGTGAAGTAATTAGAGTAACGAGTTTATCTGGATAAGGCCTGTTAATGACTGAGAAGACTGTGGTTTAGACTAGGGGGCCGTTAAATCACCAAATGTGGCTTTTTTATATATTATATATAATATCAAGGCTGATATTTGGCTTTTTTAAAGCATATGCGATACATTTTTCTGCTAGCTTGATGAGTTGAAGCAGGACTTTTATTTTGAAAGCGCAGGAACATTATCCGTCTTCCTTAGCTTACTATCTCTGCTTAACCGCTCTGTCTAATAAATGATTGCCCAGTTGTTTGATCAGTGGAAATACTGGCATGTCACCTTCTCAAAGCCACAGATGTCCTCTTGTTCCAGCGTTCGCGTGTCACAGAAGCGCTCGATGAGACTGTTTCAGAAGGCCTCAGACTCTGTATAGGGCTCCTCTATTGGGCTGCTGTGTTTGTTTGAGTAGTTTGTGCATGTAAATGATCTTTCAAAGCCAAAGCCGTGTTTGTAGACATCAGCAAAAAACACTGTGTCTTCATAAGTACATTTATTCAGCAACCACAATATAGTGGAGATTCATGTTTTGATTGACTGCTGTGCAGATCTTCTGCGGTGTGGAGAGCGCAGGGATGCCAGATTGCTGATATTAAACCAACACCATGCAGAGATGCGTCATTCTAAGAGAAAAGCTAACACCACACTTGTAGTCTGTTATATCGTGTGTCCTTTTTCCCTCATCAATAATAGATCATGTTAATAGTCACAGTTATCGTTTACTGACCGCGGTGTTGCCTCGTCTCAGTCACGCTCGTCAGTTAGCACTGCTTTAGGAGTTGATGGACTGGACGTGTGTGTGTGTGTGTGTGTGTGTAGGACCTGGGCTCCCCCAGTGAGAAGATCTGGCCGGGCTACAGCGAGCTCCCAGCGGTGAAGAAGATGACTTTCACAGAGTATCCCTACAACAACCTGCGCAAGCGCTTCGGTGCGCTGCTGTCCGACCAGGGCTTCGACCTCATGAACAAGTGAGCGCAACACCGACACTAGCTTAGCGGACCACGATAGCATGGGTTTATGTGTTTACTAGAGTTATTGGTCACACTTTAAAGAGGCAATGCCTTGACGTCACTGGCAGAAGAGTATCAACATTTATATGAGCCGGATTTCCACACCGGGGAAATACATAAAGCAAATTTACCTGTGAACGCTTATATATATATATGAAGAGTTCAGATGCAAAAGCCTCTAAATGCCATTTGAAATTTTCTTCTTTGATGATGATTTTTATCAAACGTGTATATTTAAGTTCAGTAATTTCACTTAAATAACAATTAATAGGTAATTATCATTGCAATTTAAGTGAAATCACTGAACTTAAATATACAAGCTTGATAAAAATCATCATTAAAGAAGAAAATTTCAAATGGCATTTAGAGGCTTTTGCATCTGAACTCTTCATATATATATATATATATATATATATATATATATATATATACAATATAGCTCTAAATCCATGATCACTCATATCAGTGTAATATAAATCATCATGTCGTCCAGCTCTTAAACTTGTGTAGTTTTATGTTTTGTTTATTTAAAAACATCCACTGATGCAGAATATAAGACGGTAAATATTTAATTGAGTTCAATGCAGTATATAACAATATATAGGGTATGATTTGACCCCTAAATTCAGCATATTCATTGCTAGTTCCAGCGTTAACAAATAAGTTGTGATTTTAACCCTTATGCTGCATTAGGGACATTTTTGGTCTTTTGCAGTTTAATTTCTTTGACCATTTTGGCTGTTTTAATGCAAATGGTATGAAATTTGGCAAAATTGTGACTTTTTGGATACATGTAAAAAATGTGATCCCATTTTGCAAAATATGTATAACACACACTGTGTAGATCAAATAGTAACACTCAGCACCATAAAGACCAAAAATGGCCCATTGAAACCCATTAAAACGTTTAAATCTGAGGCTGTCAGTAATACATGAAACATGATTTTTGCACAAACATCCTTTCATTTTGAAGCAAAAGCATTATATTTGCATTATATAGTGATGACGTCACTACATATTTATTCCCTATGGGTGGAAATGCACCTTATTTTAGGCAATAGGCAATGTTTAATAGGTGGCCATTTTTGGTCTCTAACGCGCTAAGTGGGATTTTTTGTAAAGTGGGACTGTGATGATCCAAATCTAAAGTTTTCTCTTTGCATTTAGTTTATTGAAAATAATTGAATTTTTGTGTTTTTTCCTCTTATACAAATCGATGGTTTCGCAAACAAAACTGGTAATTAAAGGGTTAAAATCCTGAAATTGAATACATTTTTGGTAGTTATGATGAGGACTGATGCTGGTTAAAAGATTTAACTTGGTAAAAGTGGAAAATAATAATAATAGATAATATTTTAGGCAATGTTTAATATGTGGCCATTTTTGGTCCTTAATGCACTCAACGGTGTTAAAAATCTAATGCAGCACAAGGGTTAAAAGTGTATTAGTGAATATAGAAGTAAACATTTACTGTAGAATTAAACCTTATCGTAAAGTCTTACCGATTCATTTAAATGTTAATACATAGTAGTTAAAGACACTTAATATAAAGTTGGACCGAAATATTTATATTCTACATTAAATGTAAAGGAGACTGCTTTAATGCAACATACTTTTGCTGCAAAACAGTGTCATCAAACACTTACTGATTTATTGTTATCATTCAAGTGATTATATTCTATTGTATATTAAATTACACAGGGTAGAGTACATCATAGGAAATAAAAGATCAATGAATATAAAAGGTTCAACACTGGTTGAATCGTCCTGAAAGTGCTGCTGGGATTGAGGCTGTTTGGCCAGTTTTGCTGAGCAGCTGCTTCACATTATGAGCCGGTAATAAGCAAAGGCTCGGACAGTACAGCGTTAGAAATGTCACTGAACGTGAAGATGTCGTCAGGGAGCTGATGTATGCGCCCGTCTTTAACGAGGGTTAGAATATAATATCATGCATTAAACATGATCTGTTTAGTTCTGAAGCATTTTCGTGTGTTTACATTGGGCGGGTTGAGCGATGGCGAATCGTTCATCTGGAAGTAAACAGCCATCGATCGGAGCTCTGCTTCGAGATGATTAAACGGCTTCTTGTTTGCATAGTTTGAGGGATTGGATCGGCATCACAGCCGGACTGAAAACACCACAATCACACGAGAAGGAAGAGGAAGGACATTAAAGACCACGTGCCGCCGTATTCTCTCCGACTGCTTTCAAAATGCCAGATTACGCCATACAAGTATTGGGTTACAACTCACTGGAATATCCAACGACACACGACCTTCGAAGGATGTAGTCTCTGAATTGTGACGCAGCTATTATATGTATTATCTCTTGCTTTGTTCAACATCGAAACAGCATGCCCCTCATTCTGTGAGATTATTTAATGTGAGCGCAAAAACATTTAAAGTTGACATGAAAGTGAAGTTGTGACGGTCTTTTTCGTCGAATAATTGAATGAAACTCTTCAGGAATGAGAACAAATGTGGGCGGGGCTTGATTGTGTCTGTGAGGAATTGATTGGATGGTGGTTTGCTATTGGCTGATGTCATGTGAGTGACAGGTTATAGCCCCGCCCTCATCATCAGAGAATGCTGATTCTGACTCAAAATTATTAAAACAATATTGGTGCGCATCGATACATCATTTAGAATAAACACTGTGATGTTACTTTAATAAAGTGTTGACAACATAATGACCGAAAGATCATGTTGGGTGTTAGAGAATAGCGTCAGGAGTTTCTCTCACCGTCTGCTTCCTGTCTCAGGTTTCTGACGTACTGCCCTGCGAAGCGGATCAGCGCTGACGAGGCGCTCAAACACGAGTACCTGCGCGAGACGCCGCTCCCCATCGAACCCTCCATGTTCCCCACCTGGCCGGCCAAGAGCGAGCAGCAGCGCGTGAAGAGAGGGACCAGCCCGCGCGCGCCCGAGGGAGGACAGTTCAGCCAGATGGTGCTCGTCCTCCTTAAAGTTCCCCTCTATCACTCTATCCCTTAAAGGTGCAGTGTGTACGTTTTAGCGCATCTAGTGGCGAGGTTGTGAATTGCACCCAACAGAAGTTACGGCGGCCGACAGAGTTAAACAATGAGGTTTCTTTACAAAGATAAATGAAGAAATTATATTCACCTAATAATTCAGTAAAATGATGTTATTGTGACTTGTTCATCACTGTGTCAGTGTTTTACTCGCTGACTTTAGCAGCTTCTGATCATGAAGAACAACATAGTGACGAAACGCGTGTGTCCGTTCAGGGCCACCGTAGAAACGTAGGTGTAAGCGGACCCGCGGTGTGTGTAGAGAGCTAATAAACACACAACGCTTCATTCTGTAAGGTGTTTATACACCACTGAACACACAGTTATGTTTATGATACTGCGCTTCTGTCCACAGATCCTCCTGAATATTACACACTGCACCTTTAAAACATCTTTGGAATGTTTTTTCATGTGTTCATGCCTTAAAATATCTTAAATGTAACTCGACAGCCTTGCATCATTTAGTATGCGAGACTGTATGAATATGCAAATGAGCCCCGCCCCCACTCACTCACTCAGAGATCCACTGGTTGTGTTTGAGACTGTCTTTGGTTCACTGCAGTTTTGAGGAGGAAATACTCACTTTTCCATCTTCGAAACACAAATGAAGATTTTCGAATGAAATCGGAGAGATTTGTATCAGTTACGCAACTATCACTGATGCGTCAAAACGTTTATAAAGGGATTGTAAAACTCATCTATATGAACTGAGCCAAAGACACTCAATCTCTTTATACGATGAGCAGATGTAATTTAGGCTTTTATTCACACATGAATGGAATTTGAAGTAGAGCCCGACCGATAAAGGATTTTGAAGGCCGAAACTGATACAAATATTTTTGGGTTTTAAAATCCGATATATCGGCCGATAATTCATTAATTTATATTTTTTTTAAACTGGACATGATAGTCACAAATTTTGTCATTCTTATTTGAGTTAAGAGAACTGATGGGGATGTTCTTTTAATTGTTATTCAAGCAATATATGTATCGTGACCAACTCAACGGGTGTTGCCAACAGGGACGGTGTAGAGCGCCCTCTGGTGGACAAACTATACAACTCCAACACTCATGACATGGTTCAAGCGTGTTTCCTCTGTTTTTAATTTTATTTTTGAAATGTTCATTTATCAGCCATTATAACTGCCGATACCGATAGTTTGGAAAATGCCTAATATCGGCCGATAATATCGGCCTGGCTCTAATTTTAAGCATACTTTAGTAAAAGCCTAAAGACTTTGACTGGTGTTTTGACAATTCAAAAACGAATACGAAAAAGCGCATACGTAAATTTCAGACTCGGTGTGCAGTGGCCTTAAATTGCATCTTGTCATCGTATAAAGCGATCGAGTCTCTTTAGGAAATCTGGCCTAAACGGTTCAGTTCTCTTTATAAACGTGTTTAAGCATCAAACTGAGAGTGGTAGTTGCGTAACTGTCAATGGAGGGACAGAAATCAGATATTTCATTAAAATATCTTCAGATCTGGAACGACATGAGCGAGAGTTATTAGAGACACAGTTTGCATATTTTTGGTGAACTAACCCTTTTAGTAAGAGTCTGTTCACAAACCATGTTTCTGCTGTAATGTTGTTTTTTCTTTAGTTCAGCAGGATATTCACTGACGTCAGTTCATGTTTTGGGTGAACTCGCCCTTTAAACCTGTTTTGAATCACAGCTCCGTCTCTGTTGACCAAGACCATACTCTCTTCATGTCGTGGTCTGTTTGTTCCTGTAATTCCTGGTTATTGTTACTGATTCTCGTCTTCTTCAGGGTGATGATGACCTCAAAGACACGGGTTTCCACTTGACCAGCGCGAACCAGGGCGCGTCCAAAGCCGGTCCGGGGTTCAGCCTGAAGTTCTGATCGGATCTGCGTCTGTGTGCTCGCTGGGTTCCTCTGAACGCGTCTGTCCTGACGCTGAGACTCTCTGAGAGCGGTTCACTGAACTCACACACACACACACTCTGGGGAAGCGTCGAGGACCTCCGTGAAGCTGGACTGCTCCACATTCCTCATGCTCCTCTGAAATATAGTGTGTCTTCTTTTGTCCAGCGTTCTCGGACCTCTTATTTTTCTCTCCATCTGCGTTGGTAGTCGAGGAGATCAAAGACTCTTTTAGTGAAATATCAATATAAAATAAAACTGTTTTGAAAACTTTAATACTATGGTCTTGTTGAATGCTAAATTCTGATTGGCTGGACGGTGTGCGTTCACATCGTTAAAACTAAGTTCCTAAACGCTCCTGTCCTGGAGACCCCGGCCGGTTCTGTGTGTGAGCCGCTCAAGAGAAGCTTTCCTTCCGAGGAGCCGCTCGCACTGAATGCCTTTTCCCATATCCCCGTGCTAACGGACGCGCTGGACACCCGGCGGATGAAACCACATTCAGCTGTGTGTGTTCCACTGTCCTGCTTTGCGGTGTGTTTCTGTGACGTGTCAAATCACATTTTTAAATGTTTTTTCATTAAAGTCCCTGTAAAGGCAATTCTACAAAAAAAAAAGTTCTAAACACATTATAAATGTTACATATGTATTGCTAAAACATATTACAAAGTCTGTGAACTGTGAAGTACTGAAATGTGGAGTTAGACCGTTAAACAGTTTTTCACCATTGCAATTTTACGGATTAATTGGGCGGGGCTAAAACACGGCTCGATGACGCACTGGATGCGATCATGTACAAAACAGATCGGTATCTTCATTTAAATTCCCCTAAAAACGATCACATCAAGAAGAGGTTTTTAGAGAGCCAACCTTGATGAAGAGCTGAGGATCACCGACAGCAACACCCGCCTCTGTAGTGATCGTTTTACACTGGATCGTTTTATAAACTTTCCTCAGAGACAACTGGGATTCACTGATAATCCGCTGTTACTGGTGAACGGGGCCGAAACGACGATCTCCCGCCTCAGCTTTCATCCTCCCGTCTCCAAAAGCTAATCAGCTAATACAGTGGTTCTCAAACTTTTTCAGGAGGAGGCCCCCTTGTGTAGGGTGAATCCTTTTGTGGCCCCCCAAAAGAAAACTCATAACGAAAACATCCTCAAACGTACAATTTTACTTACAAATTTTAGATTGTACCAAAAACAAATGAATTTGTACAATGCTGGAACAACAGTTCTGTTTTTAGCTTTATGTCTTTGAATATACAAAATTAGTTAAATTGTACATTTCATTAAATATAACATTTTTTTTATAAAAAATGGTTTTGACAGTTAACAGTAATATTGTCTGAAAAGTGCAACAAAAGTATTGAATACTGAACATTTGTGATGTTCATAGTAAAAGATAAACACTGAAAAAATAATTTGCTGATTGTAAAAAAGTGCATTAAACTTCTTACATTTTAAGGTAGTAAATGACAGTGGCTCAAGTTTGGTTTGCAAATTTGAACAGCAATCTGTTTTTTTCAGCAAGAAACAAAAAAAAAATTCTACTCTACTTAAAGAAATAGTTTTTCAATATAGAAGTCGACATACAATTTTATACAAGTTTTACAATATAAAAGAAATCATGCAATGCAGATTTCACAAAGGACAATCCAAACTTACATACAGGTAAAATAATTTTTTTTAATAATTTAATATTCTAGAATTTCTTTGCGGCCCCCCCTAGCGCCATCTAGTGGCCCCCCAGGGGGCCACGGCCCCCAGTTTGAGAACCGCTGAGCTAATATCACCGTCGACAGCTTTCCCGCTAGTGGGCGTGGTTTCAGCGCAGCCAGCGGACACGCCCCCAGCGTTTGAGAGCAGAGAATCTGCTCATTTTTTCATGATTTTGATAGCTTATTTGATGTACTTGCCAGCTTTTTTTATCATTCAAATTTGGCTGGGTGGCTAATAACACATTTTTCTGTGGTATGACAGACTCACAACACATACTTAATTTTGACTTTACAGGGACTTTAAAAAAAAATGTCTTCACGCCTTATCTTAGCTGTAACTCGACACCCTTGCCTCATTAGAATATGCAAATGAGCCCCGCCTCCACTCACTTACTCAGCTATCGCTGTCATGCTAGTACTTGAAATGGCGTTCCACTGTCCTGCTGCTTTGTGCTGTGTGTGTGTGTGTGTGTGTGGTTCTGCTAATGATGGCGAGTCACTCACACACACATCGAGGAGCACAGAACTTCCCCGTGAGGTTTATGAATGAAATATGAGCAGAGCAAAGTGAGAATCCACTGCTAGTTACTCCGTCGATTCTGTCTTTAAGTCCCCCTGTAATCGATCATTTATCCCTTAAACTCATTTGATCACCAGCATGACATATTTAAGTGTTTTTTTTCCTTCATGCCTTAAAATATCTTAAATGTAACTCGACACCCTCGCCTCATTTAGTATGCGCGGTTCTATGAATATGCAAATGAGCCCCGCCTCCTCTCACTCACTCACTGGTTGACGATCACACGTTGATCTGATTGGTTCCAAGGTGGTTTGTGACGTCAGAAACACCAAAGCGTGTTTTTGAGACTGTCTTTGGTTCTCTGCAGTTTGAAGGAGGAAATACTCAGCAATGCTGTCCACTTATCATGGTGTGTGTTAAAGTGATTCCTATCATATCGTTCCATGTTATAGATGTGGACTCTTCTTTTACATTTAGAAGGTCTTTCTGCATGAAGGCCAAACATCATTTCTGCTTCATGTCTTGAGAAGATGTTGATCATATTTGATGTGAGATGTTTTCCAGTAATGATCAGAAGACGACAGCACTCCCGTCACACAGACGACTTCTGTTAGGCTCGTGTTTTATTTGTGTTTTTAACCTTCTCTCTCTCAGTGGACTGAAAAGCAGCCCGCATATTCTTCACAATCCTGCTTTGTTCTTCTGAGTATTCAGTGATGGGACAGATCTCCACGTCTAGAGTTAAATCCCTCCTCATGTAAGGTCTCAGGAGTGAGCCGTCGTCACTCATGACCGCTGCTTTTCCACTCTTTAAATCTCCGGCGTGTCTTCGAGATTGCTAGTAAACGCTTGTAATGCTGACGGGTGGCATCTTGCACGAGTTAAAGACAGAAATGGGCCGAGTCGAATGGACCCCTTTGAGTTACAACTGAATTGAAACCAGAAACTCGAAACCTGGATCTCCACCAATATTTCATACTGTTGATTATTTCGCCTATGAAGGGAAAGTGCTTGTGGGATATAGCGAGAGCTTGTGTTCAGCTGTGCACTAATCTTAAACCAGCTAAATTAATATTTAAATTGAACAATCACGCTGATGTTGTGAATCATCAGGTTTTGGATCATGTGACCTTCAGTACTGACCAAACAAAGCCGTTCAGAAATGCAGACACATTTTTAAAATGAGTTTGGTGCAAAACGAAGCATTGAGAACTGTGTAAGTGTACAGACCGTTTAATAAGAAGATACTTTATAAAGACGGTTCACTTCATGTATCGATAAGTCAAACCACGAACGTCGTGCTGAGTGAGCTGAACTGTATGAACGGCGTTCGTGGTTTGACTTATCAAGACTATTTTCTAAGATGGCTCCTGTCTGTATAAATGAAGTGAACCGTCTTTATAAAGTTTCTTCTTATTAAACGGTCTGGACACTTACAAAGTTCTCAATGCTTCGTTTTGCATGTATGGACCCTCATTATGTTACTGTGTTAGTGTGGGGCTATTTTGAGCCTTGTTAGTGGTATAAACTAGCGATTTCTTTTTACTTACTCAATGCCCCCATTACTAGCATTATACGCTAAACAGTTTTTAGAGATAAAACTCTTTACATTCGATCATCATGAAAACAAATCTCAGAGAACGATTGACTGTGTACCGATGTTTTTAAACGCTTCAAATTGATAGGTGTTGATGGCGCAGTGGATACGACACATGCCTTTGGTGTGAGAGACCCAGGTTCGAATCCACTGTGAGACACCAATGTGTCCCTAAACAAGACACTTAACCCCTAGTTGACCCAGAGGCGTGCGACCTCTGACCTATATAGCAATTGGAAGTCGCTTTGGATAAAAACGTCAGATAAATGAAAAAAGGGAACATAGAATAAATTGTTTAATTTGGCAAAATAAGAAATGTATTTACAACACGTAAGAACCCTGATATCAAAATGTTTAGCAATGTGAATGGACTGATATGAGTGTGTGCGTGACCCTGGCCTGTGGGGAACAACAGGGTCAGAGGTCGTGGGTCCAAACTCATGTTCTGGCTATAATCTGTGTCTTTGACCAATTAAAATCTCCTGATAATTTACTTTCCCGCACGTCATCAAGATGTTCATGTTTTTCTTTCTTCAGTGGTAAAGAAATGAAGGTTTTTGAGGAACACACTCCAGGATGATTCTCCATATAGTGTCTTCAATGGGGTCCAACGGTCGAAGGTCAGATGTGAGTTTCAGTGACGCTTCAAAGTCTCGACACGATCCAGCCGAGGAATAAGAGTCTGATCTATACAAACCAGCCGAAATTTAGAATAAAACACACATTTATATACTTTATAACCACTAATGATCGTGTCGAGACTTTGAAGCGTCACTGAAACTCCCATCTGACCTTCGACCCGTTGGACCCCATTGAAGACACTATATGGAGAAACATCCTGGAGTGTGTTCCTCAAAAACCTTCATTTCTTTTCCACCGAAGAAAGAAACACATGAACATCTTGATGACGTGGAGGAATAAACTATCAGGAGACGAGTCTCTCAGAAGCGCACTCGTACCCTCCAGGAGTACGTGGTCAGCACCTTGTTCTTCTTCCTCACGACGCAAGTGTAGGTGCCCTCGTTGATGGCGTTGGCCACGATTGTGATGTGGTCATCTTTCAGGGAAATGTATCCGGGATGAGAGAACTCCAGAAGCTCGCCGTCTTTATACCAGCTGTGGTGTGGAGAACGCTTCAGGTTAGGACGTTAGTAACAAACACTAACCTTAAATATGCTTCAATTCTTGCTGAAAAACATCCAATTTCAAACTACAAATTTAAAGGATTCATGTTCCCTTTGACATAATCTCTCAAAACACAGAGGACCAGGAGTGAAAACTGTGATAATGGGTCTCATTCACTAATAATGGCATATATTTAAACCAGGGGTTGGCAAGTCAGGCCCTGGAGATCCATTTTCCTACAGAGTTGATCTCCAACCTTAAACAAACACCCCTGAATGGGCTAATCAAGGTCCTCAGCCAAGGGTTTGCCCCAGGAC